GGGACCTCAGGAGGTCATCTAGTTCAACCCCCTGCTCAAAGCAGGACCAGTCCCCAATTAAATCATCCCAGCCAGGGCTTTGTCAAGCCTGACCTTGAAAATCTCTAAGGAAGGAGATTCCACCACCTCCCTAGGTAACCCATTGCTGTGCTTCACCACCCTCCTAGTGAAAAAGTTTTTCCTAATATCCAGCCTAGACCTCCACCACTGCAACTTGAGACCATTACTCCTTATTCTGTCATCTGGTACCACTGAAAACAGTCTAGATCCAGCTTCTTAGGAACCCCCTTTCATGTAGTTGAAAGCAGCTATCAAATCCCCCCTCATTCTTCTCTTCTGCAGACTAAATAATCCCAGTTCCCTCAGCCTCTCCTCATAAATCATGTGCTCCAGCCCCCTAATCATTTTTGTTGCCCTCCTCTGGATGTTTTCCAATTTTTCCACATCCTTCTTGTAGTTTGGGGTCCAAAACTGGACACAGTACTCCAGATGAGGCCTCACCAATGCTGAATAGAGGGGAATGATCATGTCTCTCGATCTGTTGGCAATGCCTACTTATATAGCCCAAAATGCCATGAGCCTTCTTGGCAACAAGGGCACACTGTTGACTCATATCCAGCTTCTAGTCCACTGTAACTCCTAGGTCCTTTTCTGCAGAACTTCTGCTTAGCCAGTCGGTCCCCAGCCTGTAGCTGTGCATGGGATTCTTCTGTCCTTAGTGCAGGACTCTGCACTTGTCCTTGTTGAACCTCATCAGATTTCTTTTGGCCCAATCCTCTAATTTGTCTAGGTTCCTCCGTATCCTATCTCTACCCTCCAGCATATCTACTACTCCTCCCAGTTTAGTGTCATCTGCAAACTTGCTGAGGATGCAATCTATCCCATCGTCCAGATCATTAATAAAGATGTTGAACAAAACCGGCCCCAGAACCAACCCTTGGGGCACTCTGCCTGATACTGGCTGCCAACTAGACATGGAGCCATTGATCACTACCTGTTGAGCCCAACAATCTAGCCAGCTTTCTAGCCACCTTATTGTCCATTCATCCAGCCCATACTTCTACCTACAGTGGCCAATGCCAGGTGCCCTAGAAGGAATTAACCTAACAGGTAACGATCAAGTGATCTCTCTCCTGCCATCCATCTCCACCCTCTGACAAACAGAGGCTGGGGATACCATTCCTTACCCATCCTGGCTAATAGCCATTAATGGACTTAACCTCCATGAATTTATCTAGTTCTCTTTTAAACCCTCTTATAGTCCTAGCCTTCACAACCTCCTCAGGCAAGGAGTTCCACAGGTTGACTGTGCGCTGTGTGAAGAAGAACTTCCTTTTATTTGTTTTAAACCTGCTGCCCATTAATTTTATTTGGTGGCCCCTAGTTCTTATATTATGGGAACAAGTAAATAACTTTTTCTTATTCACTTTCTCCACACCACTCATGATTTTATATACCTCTATCATATCTCCCCTTAGTCTCCTCTTTTCCAAGCTGAAAAGTCCTAGTCTCTTTAATCTCTCCTCATATGGACCCGTTCCAAACCCCTAATCCTTTTAGTTGCCCTTCTCTGAACCTTTTCTAACACTAGTATATCTTTTTTGAGATGAGGAGACCACATCTGTAAGCAGTATTCAAGATGTACCATGGATTTATATAAGGGCAATAAGATATTTTCCATCTTATTCTCTATCCCTTTTTTTAATGATTCCTAACATCCTGTTCACCTTTTTGACTGCCGCTGCACACTGCATGGATGTCTTCAGAGAACTATCCACGATGACTCCAAGATCTTTCCTGATTGGTTTAGCAAAATTAGCTCCCATCATATTGTATGTATAGTTGGGGTTATTTTTTCCAATGTGCATTACTTTACATTTATCCACATTAAATTTCATTTGCCATTTTGTTGCCTAATCACTTAGTTTTGTGAGATCTTTTTGAAGTTCTTCACAGTCTGCTTTGGTCTTAACTATCTTGAGCAGTTTAGTATTGTCTGCAAACTTTGCCACCTCAGTGTTTACCCCTTTCTCCAGATCATTTATGAATAGGTTGAATAGGATTGGTCCTAGGACTGACCCTGGGGGAACACCACTAGTTACCCCTCTCCATTCTGAAAATTTACCATTTATTCCTGCCCTTTGTTCCCTGTCTTTTAACCAGTTCTCAGACCATGAAAGGATCTTCCCTCTTATCCCATGACAAATTAATTTACGTAAGAGCCTTTGGTGAGGGACCTTGTCAAAGGCTTTCTGGAAATCTAAGTATACTATGTCCACTGAATCCCCCTTGTCCACATGTTTGTTGACCCCTTCAAAGAACTCTAATAGATTACAGAGTGGTAGCTGTGTTAGTCTGTATCAGCAAAAAAAACCCATGAGTGCTTGTGGCACCTTAGAGACTAACAAATTTATCTGGGCATAAGCTTTCGTAGCCCACGAAAGCTTTTGCCCAAATAAATTTGTTAATCTCTAAAGTGCCACAAGTACTCCTCTAATAGATTAATAAGACATGATCTCCCTTTACAGAAACCATGTTGACTTTTGACCAACAATTTATGTTCTGCTATGTGTCTGACAATTTTATTCTTTACTATTGTTTCAACTAATTCGCCCAGTACTGACGTTAGACTTATCGGTCTGTAATTGCTGGGATCACCTCTTGAGCCCTTTTTAAATATTGGCATTACATTAGCTATCTTCCAGTCATTGGGTACAGAAGCTGATTTAAAGGATGGGTTACAAATCATAGTTAATAGTTCTGCAATTTCACATTTGAGTTCTTTCAGAACTCTTGGGTGAATGCCATCTGGCCCCAGTGAGTTGTTACTGTTAAGTTTATCAATTAATTCCAAAACTTCCTCTAATTACACTTGAATCTGTGACAAATCCTCAGATTTGTCAGATTCCTTGAGGACCTGCTCCATGATTTATTTGTTTTAAACCTGCTTCCTATTGAAAAAATGGCAGATGCAATGCAATGTTGATAAATGCAAAATAATGTACATTGAAAAACATCATCCCAACTACACACCTCTACCCCAATATAATGTGGTCCTCGGGAGCCAAAAAAATCTTATCGCATTATATTGAACTTGCTTTGGCTTCCAGCATTTCCATTATTAATAGTCAGTTCCCGCCCCCGACTGACCCCTCAGAACCTCTGACCCATCCAACGCCGCCACCCGCTCCCTGTCCCCTGACTGCCTCGACCCCTATCCACACCCCAGATCCCTGACATGCCCCCGGGACTCCCAAGCCCTATCCAACGCCCCCGTTCCCTGACCGCTCAACCCTCAGAACCTCTGAACCATCCAACCCCCCCTGCTCCCTGTCCCCTGACCGCCCCCCAAGACCCTCGGCCCCTTATCCAACCCCTCGGCCCCAGCCTGGCACCCTTAACATGCCGCTCAGAGCAGCATGTCGGAGCCTGATGTGCTGATCCGCCGGAGTGCGCAGCCCCGCCCCCCAGTGCACTGCTTTACTGCATTATATCCAAATTCCCGTTATATCGGGGTAGAGGTTTACATACAAAATGATGAAGTCTAAATTAGCTGCTACTACTCAAGAATAGAGATCTTGGAGGCATTATGGAAAACATCCACTCGATGTGCAGCAGCATTAAAAAAAAAGCTAACAATGTTAGGAACCATTAGGTGCCGAGCCGCAGCAGGTAATTTGGGGGGGGGCGGGGCTCAGGGGAACCAGTCCCCGCCCCAGCTCACCTCCGCCACCCTTGGCCTGAGGGGAAGCCGCAGCCTGCTTCTCAGCCCTCCCTGGCTTCCCGCTGAACAGCTGATTTGCGAGAAGCCGGTGGGGGGGGGGGGGGGGCGGAGAAGCAGAGCAGGGCGGTGGGTTCAGGGGAGGAGGCGGAGGCAGAGTGGAGGTGAGCTGGGGTTGAGCTGGGGTTGGTCATGGGATGGGGAGCTGTCGGTGGGTCCTCCAGCCCCGGAGCACCCAGGGAGTCGGCGCCTAAGGCACCACTTTTGATGTGATCAGTGGGGGAGCGGCTGCTCCCCCTGCTCTCCCCCAGCTACTCTCCCCTGCCCCTAGGAGCCAGTGGGACCTGCTGGATGCTTCCTGGGAGCTTCCCCAGGTAAGCACCGCCGGGACTCCCCACCTCGCCCCCCGGCAGGTGCCTCTGGCTCTTAGGGGTGGGGTGGGCACCCACTACGGTGGCCAACGAGACCCTCCTGCCCGGTTCTGGGGTCAGTCAGGGGACGGGGAGACGGTTGGATGGGGCAGGGGTCCTTGGGGGGAGGGCTTCAAGGAACACAGGGGGGGGGGTCGGATGGAGCAGGAGTCCCGGGGGGCGGGGGTGGGCAACGATGCCCTCGTGGGGTGAGGAGGGAACCCATTGTTAAGGTTTTGGCAGCTCATCACTGATCTGCACTCACTACACCACTGGGAGGGCTTGCAAGAACTCTGGAGGGCAGGATTAGATTTCAAAAAGATCTTGATCAAGTGAGGAATTGGTCTGAAATCTACAAAATGAAATTCTGTGAGAATAAGTGCAAAGTGTGACATTTAGAAAGCAAAACTCAAATGCACAACCACAAAATGGGGAATAATTGGCCAGGTGGTTGCATTGCGGGCAAGGGTCTGGGGTGCTAGTGGGTCACTGATGGAATGTGAGTGATGCAGCTGTGAAAAAGGCTCATATTGTTAGGGGTGTATTAACAGGAGTGGGGTATCTGAGACACGGGAGGGAACTGTCCCGCTCTGTTCCGCACTGGTGAGCCCTCAGCTGGGGAAGTGCGTCCAGTTCTGGGTACTGCAGCTGTAGCTCACGAAAGCTCATGCTCAAATAAACTGGTTAGTCTCTAAGGTGCCACAAGTACTCCTTTTCTTTTTGCGAATACAGACTAACACGGCTGTTCCTCTGAAACTTTCAGAAAGAGGACAAGTTGGAGAATGCCCATGGGACTACAGCTCCCAGCATGCCCTGGGAAGGGCAGGCCGCGCCATAGGACTACAGCTCCCGGCGTGCCCCGGGCCCGGCAGGCTGGCCCCTCGCGTGCCGTTGGTCCGGACAGGCCAGAGGGCGCGGAGCCGGCTTGGGGCCCGATGGAGGCGGCTCTGCCGCTGCGCCCGGTCTATGTCTGTAGCCCAGAGTACCTGGCGCTGTGCGACTCGCTCTGCAAAGTGCCTAAAAGGGTGGGTGAGTGGGGGGCCCTGTGGGGGGTGGGTAGGGCACTGTGGAGTGCGGGGTGGGAAGGTTGGGGGGCAGGATAGGGCGGGGCGGCGTGGGGAGCTGGGGGGCACTGTGGAGTGCGGGGTGGGGAGGTTGGGGGGCAGGATAGGACACTTCGGAGTGGGGAGCTGGGGGGGGCAGAGTAGGGCACTGTGGAGTGCGGGGTGGCAGGGTGGGGATGTTGGGGGGCAGGATATGGCACTGCGGGGTGGGGAGCTTGGGGGGGCCTGTTGTGGGCAGGGTGGGATGGTGCAGGGTGGGGAGCTGTGATGGGCTCGGTGGGTAGCTTGAGGGGTGGGGTGGGGAGTTTGAGGGGGGTCCTGTGTGGGGTGGGGTTTCTGGGTGGAGGTGGCAGAGGGTGGTGGACCCTGGGGAACAGGTTGTGACTTTCCCATCCTAGTTTAGAAGGGTCTGGTGTGATCCAGTGGTCTGGGAGTAGCAGCAGGGCGGGTATAAAAACAGTGTGAAGCACACCCCCTGCCAGTGAGAACATCTGTGTTATAATTGTTATTTGTACATCTGGAGGCCTTTCCGGAGATCAGGGCCCCGTCGTGCTCAGCCCCGCACAGACACATAGCAAGCGATGCTCCCTGCTGCAGAGCCTCAGCTGACTGAGGGGAAAAGGGGAGCTACCAAGGGGAAGAGATTTATGTGACAAAATAGCGACATGGGAGCTAATGTACCCCAGAAAGATTTGTAAGGACCTTTAAAACCTGCCTGAGGGAGAAATCGGGAGCAGGGAACCTTGTTTAGGAAAACGGGGCATAAATCTGTTTTGCTTTGATAACATTTATGTTAAAATCTACTCCTCTTCCCTGTGCTTAACTCCAGAGGGGGGATCTCAGCAGACCTGGCAGTCTCTAGACAAGCTGCTGTTGGGAATGCTCGACCCGGCTGCAACAGATCCCAGACTGAGACAGACCTGGATAAAATCCTTATACCAAACTCTGCACCCCCATGTATTCTGCAAATGCCACGTTCTTCAGAAGAACTATTTCAGGTGTAAAAAGAAAAGGAGCACTTGTGGCACCTTAGAGACTAACAAATGTATTTGGGCATAAGCTTTCGTGGGCTAAAACCCTGATGAAGTGGGTTTTAGCCCACGAAAGCTTATACCCAAATACATTTGTTAGTCTCTAAGGTGCCACAAGTACTCGTTCTTTTTGCTGATAGAGACCAACATGGCTACCACTCTGAAACCTATTTCAGGTGTGAATAGGAGTAAGAAGATGTTCAAGCCTTGTATCGGTATTGCTGTTTAGGTTTTCACAAGGCTGCCTATAACCATAGTTTTCAAGCACTAAACCCATCCAAGTCACACTGGGAAGGAAATCCATATAAGGGTGGGGGAAAAGAAATATTGAGTGATTCCTTTTAATTAAAAAAAAAAAAAGGAAAACAAAGAAAAAGCTGTTTGAAGCTGCTCAGAGTTCAGGAGTGGTTGATATAGTCCCTGGGAGATGGATCAGTGGGCAGAGTCCAAGTGAGATGGTCAAAGATGCATGATAAATTCAGTATATCACATGGATGTCACCTGTGTGGTATATATAAGGCCCTTTGGGTTTGTTTTTTATTTTATTTTTAATTTCTTGGGATTTTCATTTTTATTAATTTAAAAAAAAAAAAAAAAAACCCTGGAGAAAATAGGTAAAAACTGAAATCAAAGGGCAGAGTGGGGGTAGGGGGAAGCCGAGTCTCACCATGTGGCAGTAGCCTTCCACTCCTTGCAGTGGTCCAGCCCTTTCAGCTTCCAGGACCTAGCTCCCTGCCCTTCTCATTCTACCACTGTGTGGAGGAAGCAGATGGGGCCATGGGGAAGGGCTGAGTTCTGAAGGGGAGCAGAAGGCTGCATCCCTGACTACTGGCCCCTGGTGTACAGAGCCCCTCCTAACCTGGCTTTCCCTTCCACACAGCCACATCTGGTTTCCCTGCGAAAAATTCCTGGGTCCTGAAAAAGCCAAAATTTGGATGAAAATCAGTAAAACCTGAATATTTTTTTTTTTTGAAAACCCAGGAATTTTGTGGGGAAATTGGTAAGGCCCTTCATTATTAGTCTTTTGGTACATACGAGCTCCGTTTAAGTTTAGGATCTCTGACATATCTGCTGTATGTTTGTGTGGAGGTTAGGTTGCAAGTTGTTGGGTTCGGGACATTCTTCTGCATATGGCACAGGCCTACTTGGTAACCCATGCATAACTTGGTAACCTGTGCTCTTATGTTTCTATTCTGTAGGCCAGTATGGTGCATTCTTTGATCAAAGCATATTCCTTACTTGACCACATGAGGTAAGTCACATCATCTATTTCCTGAAGACTGTATGCTAATTGCCTGATCCTGTAGGTCAGAGGTGGGCAAACTATGGCCTGCCTGGTCCTTGAGCTCCCGGCTGGGGAGGCTAGCCCCCGGCCCCTCCCTTGCTGTTCCCGCTCCGCCGCAGCCTCAGCGCACTGTGCCACCAGGTCACTGGCCTGCCGCTCCTGCCGGGCAGTGCGGCAGCGTAGCTGGCTCTGGTATGGTAAGGGAGTGGGGGGTCTCGGGGGGCAGTCAGGGGACAGGGGGCGGTTGGTTGGGGTGGAGGTTCTGGGCTGGGGGGGCAGTCAGGGGATGAGGAACAGGGGGATGGGGGTGGAGTCCCCATCCCCCTGTTCCTCATCAGGGGCGGGGGTATGGATAGGGGTCATGGCAGTCAGGGGACAGAGGATGGGGGTTGGATGCGGAGGGGGGAGGTTGGGTGGGGTCCTGGGGGGTGATTAGGGGCGGGGAGGTCCTGTGAGGGGGCTGTCAAGGAGCAGGGGGGGTTGGATTGGTTGGGGGTTCTGAGGGGGGCGGGAAGTGGGAGGGGGTGGATGGGGGCAGGGGCCTTGCTGTTTGGGGAGGCCCAGCCTTCCCTACCCGGCCCTCCATACAGTATCACAACCCCGATGTGGCCCTCGGGCCAAAAAGTTTGCCCACCCCTGCTGTAGGTGCTGAGTATCATCAGCTCTCCAGGAACTCAGTGCCATGCACCACAGTGCAGGATTGGGTCCTGCATTCTGTGCGTTCATAAAACCCATGCACTTAGTTCTTGTGTTGTTGATTTGTAAGCAGAATTTGCTTGTTCTGCTAAATGGACAGTGTTACAGTAGTTCTAACAGATGCGATTTATCATCAGACCTCAGAATCTGATAAGAAAAGTCTTCCAGATACTAAGTATCTAGTGCTTTTTTTTTTTTAAAATGTGCCATGCCATCTTCAGCTTCTATTAATGAGTGACAGTGACCAAGCACTGATTAGCTTTCCTGCTGCTAGTAGAGCCTGATGGGCAGCTGGGAAACCAGCATAGACCATGTCAGTTTCTCATTGCTGCTTGAGAACAGACTAACCAAGTCTTAGAGCTATTCATGGGGTACAAAGGACTCAGACAGAGGTTTGGAGTACGGTATTGAAGAGCGCTTCCCTCAGGAGGGTGGTGGGAATTGGGTAGGGAGGAAGAGAGGTCAACACTTCTCTTCCAGCGCTTAAGGGAGCTGGTTTATGTGTTCAAACATACTGGACGCCTGTTTGCCTGCTACAGATGATAGAACCTCTGAGCAGTGTCCAGTAATAGCATCTTAAAGGAATCCCAGCTTTTCTTTGAATGCTTGTTCATGTTGATTCCATTCTAGGTGTGCGCATGCCCACGAGCATGGTTGGAGATTTTTGCCTTAGCGGTATCTGTAGGGTTGGCAGTGGTGCCCCATTGAGTGCCGTGCTCATGCGCTGGTATATCAGGTGCCACCGACCCTACGCCCTCTCAGTTCCTTCTTACCACCCATGGTGGTTAGTCGGAGTGCCTTTCTTCGCATTGCAAGGGCTAGTGGTTTTCGTCTTACTGACTTCGAGCCTTAGGGCCTTGTAAATAGTTAGTTTATAGTAGTTAATGCTAAGTGTAGTTAATAGTTAGCAGTTAGAGTCCCAGTGGGTACTTTGCCCCAGGTGAGGCATTCCCAGGTCTCCAGGGTTTAAGCCCTGCATGTACTGCGACAGGCCTATGCTGCCTCAAGTGCCTGGGAGAATCATATGTTAGAGATAAGTGCTGAATTTGTTAAAACTTTCAGCCCTGCATGCAGAAGGAGTGGGATATTCATTTACAGGCTCTCCTCATGGAATTTGCCCTTCATCCAGCTTCTGTGCCATCCCACCAGGACTCGCTGAGGGCCTCGGTGTGCTCCCAGCACTGGGCTCCATCCAGCACCATTCCCTGTCACCGGTGCCCAAAAAGAAGGCTAGGAAGCATGGCTCCCTGACATCAGGCAAAAACAGACATGAGCCATTGGGCAAGGGACCCACTTCGAGCCATGCAGCCACTCTGGAGCCCCACACTTGTGCCTCCCCGGTCGGGACCCTTAGCCCCTTGAAAGATCCACCACTGACTCCTGGGAGCGGCATGGGACTGAAACCCCCAGATGGCACCAACGCCTTCACAAGCTTCCCTGGAGCCAAGAGAGCAAAGGCCTCTGCCTGCGCTGCTGATACAGCATGTGCCTCAGAAACTAGTAAAGGCTCCCCTCGGGGGCAAGCCAGCTGCTAAGACCCCTTGGGGCGGTAGAGTGCCACCGATCCCCTGAGATGAAGCGGCACTCTCCTCCTCCATGCCGCAGGTCACCGGAATAGCAGCCCAGACCCTCTGGGACTTGCCCTAAGTCACCAGCACTGTGATTGCGGTTCCCAGCATGGATCGCCTAGAGGAAGGTGCTGGTCTCCGTATGACCGGCACTGTTTGCCCTCCCACCAGTTGTTCTCTCAGCGAAGATTCCGGCCGCCTGCCTCATGTGTTCCCTGTTGTGTTTCTGGTTCCCCCGGCACCGGTTCCCTCGATACCGGCACCAATCCCCTTGCTCCAGGCACCAGTCTCCGACAGCGACAGTCAGCAAACAAACTCAAGCACTGATAGCCCCACCGTGGTCACCGGAAGGGGATTCCTCTGGCATGGAAGCTCAGTTCAGCCCCTTGCCTAGACGGCACTGGCGCAATGGCCTTATTGCAGCCCAGCCCAGCAAAACACCCTAGGGGCCAGAAGCACTCATTTTCAGGGTGCAGTCAAGAGCAACGCACCAGTCACCTCCCAGGATTCATTCTGCTCTTTCCTCAACCATCACCGTCCCTTCTGTTTGGCCTGGTCCCGAGTCACCTCAGACCGTTGGGTGCTGGAGATAGAGTTTTAAAGTTACACCCTGCGTTTTTTGGCCACTCCTTCCTTCCAGTCCCCATCCTTTCCATCCCTCTTCAGGGACCCTTCACATGAGCAACTCCTCGTTCAAGATGGGCGGTGGAGGAGGTCCCTCAGGAAATGACAGGGAAGGATTCCACTCCCGTTATTTCCTAATCCCGAAAGCAAAAGGGGGCCTCAGGCCCATTTTGGACCTGTGATGCCTCAGCAATTCTCTCAAGAAGTTGAAGTTTAACATGGTCTCTCTGGCCTCCATCATCCCATCTCTGGATCCAGAAGACTGGTACGTTGCCCTTGGCTTGAAGGATGCATATTTCCATATTCCAAGGTCACAGACGTTTCCTCCATTTCATAGTGGGGGAATGCCATTTCCAGTTTACAGTGCTCCCCTCTGGCCTCTCATCGGCTCCAAGGGTCTTCACGAAATGTATGGCACCAGTGGCCACTTACCTAAGACATTGAGGGGTCCAGGTCTTCCCGTATCTAGACGATTGGCTCATCAAGGGCAGGTCTTGGGAACAAATGCAGAGAAGACTCGATCTGGTGCGTTCCACCTGCCGCAACCTGGGCCTGTTGATAAATGAGGAAAAAATCCAACTTAAGGCTAGTCCAACGCATGAAGTTTATTGGGGTGGTTCTCGACTCCACACGAGCCAGAGCCTTCCTTCCAGAGGCGTGTTTTCAAGTTATGTTGGACATGATCTCCCATGTGAAGAACCACTTGCTCACCATGGTTCACACCTGCCTGCAGTTGCTGGGCCACATAGCCACCTGTACATACATGGTCAGTCATGTCCGGCTCCACCTGTGGCCTCTTCAAGCATAGCTGGTGTCTGTTTACACCCCCAACAGACACCACATACTCCGGGTAGTCAGGGTGCTGGATCACATCCTGTTATCCCTGAAGTGGTGGTTGAACCCTAGGTTGATGTTGCAGGGTGTTCCCTTCATGGCCCCGTCCCCGTCGCTGACCCTGGTTTCAGATGCTTCTGACCTGGACTGGGGATCCCTCCTGGGCAAGCTCAGCACTCAAGGCCGCTGGCTGTGGGACGATCTGGCCCTTCACATCAATGTCAGGGAGCTAAAGGTAGTTCGCCTGGCCTGCCAGGCTTTCTTGCCCCACCTGAGGGGCAAGGTAGTGCAGGTCCTCACGGACAATACTGTCATGATGTATTACATCAACAGGCAGGGCGGAGCCAGGTTGTCAACCCTTTGCCAAGAAGCTCTCAGCCTTTGGGATTTCTGTGTGTGGCATTCCATTCATCTGGTAGCTGCGCACCTGCCGAGGACCAAAAATGAGCTAACAGATTGCCTCAGTAGGACTTTCTCATCTCACCACGAGTGATTGCTCCATCCAGAGGCAGCTAGTATGATCTTCCGAAAGTGGTGAACTCCCCAGGTGGACTTGTTTGCGTCCTGCCAGAACAGGAAATGCCACGTGTTCTCTTCAGTCTGGGGTATGGACGGGGTTCCCTGTCTGATACTTTCCTGCTCCTGTGGTCGGAAGCCCTGATGTATGCCTTCTTGCTGGTGCCATTGATCCACAGAGTCCTCGTGAAGATCAAACAGGACAGGGTGAAGGTTATCCTGATAGCTCCTGAGTGACCTTGCCAGCACTGGTTTGGCATGCTACTGGACCTTTTGGTAGCTGCGCTGCTGCAGCTTCCTCTCTGTCCAGCCCTGCTGTCCCAGGAGCATGACAATGTTCTGCATCCAAACCTAGAGGTGTAGCACTTGACAGCATGGCTACTGCGTGGCTGAATGCAGAAGAGCGGGAATGTTAGACCCAGCTGCAACAGGTCCCAGACTTGAGTATCAGAAAGTCCTCCACCAGAGAAACTTATCTGGCAAAGTGGAAAAGATTCACATGCTGGGCTTCGGATCGGTGCGTCTGTGCCGAGCACACCTTGCTGCAGGTGATCCTGGATTATCTTCTGCACCTCACATTTCAGGGCGTGTGACACTCTGTATCTCTAGTGAACACCCTGTACCCCCATGTTCATCCTTATAATACAATTGTATGTTACCCAATGCAAACTTTGTCATATTGTATGTCTTCGGAAGGCTCATGATGCACTGAGCATTGTAGTTACAGTAATGTTATAGGTTGTAATTTCATATATGTATTGAGTTATGAGGCTGAAAATGTGTCCTCATGGCTTAAAACAAGCCTAGGCAAAACTCTCCAGGAACAGAGGGGAAGTTCATACCTCATCAGGGCATGTATGGGACAAGCCCAGCCCAGCCTCACAGGAATAAAGGACACTGGCCTAGGCAACAAAAAATATCTGTTGGACTCTCGAGTGAATCACGCCCCTCCCCCCTTCCTTTGGTCAGTTTGGGACAATGAGGTAATGCTCACCTGACCCTGAAGGGGGGAGGGGCAAAGCCAAGAGAGAGGAAAGAACATGATAAAAGGGAGAGACATTTGCCTTGCTCCTCCTCTCTCTTCCACCTCCATCCAAAGACACCAAGTGACTGAAATGCTGATCAAAGGGGAGAGCCTGGCTGAATGGCAACGAGCCAGCCTGTGGTGAGACGCATCTTAGTGTGTAAGGGCACTGAAAGTGTTAAGATCAGCTTAGAATGCGTTTTGCTTTTATTTCATTTGACCAAATCTGACTTGTTGTGCCTTGACTTATAATCACTTAAAATCTATCTTTTGTAGTTAATAAATGTGTTTGTTTATTCTACCTGAAGCAGTGCGTTTGGTTTGAAGCTTGTCAGAGACTCCCCTTGGGATAACAAGCCTGGTATATATAAATTTCTTTGTTAAATTGACGAACTCATATAAGCTTGCAGCGTCCAGCGGGCATAACTGGACACTGCAAGACGGAGGTTCCGAGGGTTGTGTCTGGGGCTGGAGATATTGGCTAGTGTCATTCGGTTGCACAATCTAAGTAGTGGCTGGCCAAAAGTGCTCACTCACGTGCTGGGAGCAGCTTACATGCCAGAGGCTGTGCATGAACAACTCGGGAGTGCGGATTCTCACAGCGGAGCAGGGTAAGGCTGGCTCCCAGGGTCAAGGATTGGAGTGATCTAGCAGATCACTGGTCCAGATAACACAAGGGGAATGTCACAGCATGTCCCTGTCATTGATCAGGGTTCACCTGGCCACTATTTCGGTGTTCCACCCTCTGTTCCAAGCCAGGTCGGTCTTCACTCACAACATGAAAGCCTGGTTCTTGAAAGGTCTGTGGCATCTTTACCCTCATGTCTGGAACCCTGTCCCTCCCTGGGATTTGAATCTCATGCTGTCGAGGCTCATGAGGCCTCCCTTCGAACCTCTGGCTTCTTGCTGTTTTCTGTTTCTCTCCTGGTTTAGCTGCAGAGTGTCTGAGATCAGGGCACTTATGTCAGAACCACCCTGTACAGTGTTCTACAAAGATAAGGTCCAGTTGCAACCCCACCCAGTGTTCCTGCCCAAGATAGTTTCCTAGTTTCATGCCGGCCAGGACATTTTCTTACTGGTCTTCTTTCTGAAGCCCCATAAATCTGAAGAGGCGTGCAGGTTACACACCCTGGATGTCCGGAGGGTGCTGGCCTTCTGTCTTGACAGGATATGGCCGTTCCAGGACATGGCTGTTTGTTGCGGTGGCAGACAGGATGAAAGCTTGCCCAGTGTCTGCTCAAAGGATTTCGTCCTGGGTTACAGCCTGCATCCAATACTGCTATGAGCTGGCGAGTGTGCCTCCACCGGCGATAAAGCGCACTCGACTAGAGTGTAAATGTCATCAGCGGCCTTCTCAGCTTAGGTGCTGATCCAAGAGGTCTGTAGAGCGGCTACCTGGTCATCTGTCCATACGTTTATGTGCCATTATGCGCTGACCTACCAGGCCTGGAATGATGCTGGCTTTAGCAGGGCAGTGCTGCATGCTGCAAGACCGTGAACTCCAAGCCCACCTCCATTGGCACTGCTTGTGAGTTACCTAGCATGGAATAGACATGAGCAAGCACATGAAGAAGAAAAAATGGTTATCTACCTTTTGTAACTTGTTCTTCTAGATGTTGCGCATGTCCATTCCATTACCCACCCTCCTGGCCATCTGTTAGAGTTGCTGGCAAGAAAGAATCGAGATGGCGTAGGGTTGGCGGCACCTGATATACCGACGCATGATCGCGGCACTTAAGGGTGTGCCACTGCCGGCCCTACGGATACGGGTAAGACAAAAATCTCCAGCCACGCATGTGAGCGCACGCACATCTAGAATGCAATGGACATGAGCAACACATCTTGAAGGACAACAGTTACAAAAGGTAGGTAACCGTTTTTTCCTCTAGCCTGATGGGGTGGTGCCTGGAAATTCCCCTGTGGAAGCTTTGGGGCAGAAAAGGTGGTGGTGGCCAGTGTCACGGTTCCAGGGCTCGCTGCACATTTGGCCCTTCTCTAGTCACATAGGTGATATGCCCTGTGTCTTTAGCTATCTCTGGGTGGAATCCCATGATTCTCCCACTCTCAGGCTACAATGCCCTGTGTATCAACTGTGATTGCTTCACAGATCCAACGAGGTTTGGCTACTTGTGGGTCTTCTCGTTGGCAGCTTTGACCCATGGTGAATACAATGACACACAGCAGCCTTCTTAGAACAAAGTAGTGTTTAATCTCAACAGTAGGAACAAAGCATAACCAACACAGGCACTGGCTTCCAACTGTCCCCGGGGGTGCTCCACCCCCGTCCCTGCCCCCACTCCGCCCCGCCCCACCTCTTCCAGCCCAATTCCAGCCCCGCCCCTGCTCCTCCCCCTCCCTCCCAGTGCCTTCTGCAGGCTGCAAAACAGCTGATTGTGGAAGGCACTGAGAGAGACGGGAGGAGTTGATTGGCTGGGCCACCGGCAGGCAGGAGTAGGGGGGAGGGTGGGGAGTTTGGCTGCTGGTGGGTGCTAAGCACCCACTAATTTTTTTTCTGTGGGCGCTCCAGAGTCGGCGCCTATGATAACCAGAGAAAGGGGTTTTTAACACTGTAAAAAGTCTATGGTCACACATATCCCTCTTGCTATAGATGTAGGTACTGGTAGGCCTTGCTTATCCCAGACACCCCCATCTCTGGGCACAGGGGTTCAACCTACTCCTCTACCTCGTTCTCTCCTGTTCTTTAAGGACTGTTCTTTGTTCCAGTTTTTCCTACTTGGATCCCCTTCCGGTAGTTTCCAGATTATTGAAGTCTGTCTGGTGTCAGAGGTCACACTTCAAAGTGATTGACACCTGCATTGTCCTTTCTGATGCTGTTGTCCCCTTTTCTTGCTATGTGCAAGCAACCCCCACTTGAATGAATCCCTTGTTATCCAATAGCAAACAACACAATAATAGATCGAACTGGTGGGCATATGGTATTCATAAAATATTACAGGTGCTCCCTGGTCTTTCAGACCTGATTTATGTTCTCTAAGACAAGGGGCCAATTCATCATTAAAAACAGAAGACCAGCTGGGGAGACTGGAAGCAGGAGGGACTTTGCTTCCTCCAGGGGCGCTGACCAAACACAGAGACTCACAATGGGGCGGAGGGTGAGATCAGACTGAGGGGGATGCATTCAGGAGTTTGCTGTTTTCCATTGATCTGTAACCCTTGTGTTTTGTAGCAGTAAAGTGTGTGTGTGGTCACGCATTCATTTACTAAGCCTGGGTATCCTTGTTTTACTGTGATGTTGCCCCTGAAGGGGTTAACTCGAAAGCAGAGTTCCCATAGCCAGGTGGACTCCGTGGAATTTGTCTAAACAACTAGGGATTCAGGAAGGCTATGAAACTGGTTCTGGAGTCTGGGGGGCCAGACTGCAGGGTCCTACTGCCCAAGATGGGTGTTTCTGCTCTGGGGTGTGCGCCTGAAAGTCACAGAGCTCGGACCAGCGACCAGTCACTCTCCAGACCCAGGGGCTTAGCAGCATGTGGCATCCAGAGATTGGATTCCTTCATAACGGATTGGTGTCCATTCAGAGAGTGGGACTAGACCTAGTTGTGACACACAGGTGTTATCATGGGTGGTGAGTATCATGGGAAGGGGGAGGCTGTGCCTCCCCAAACAGCGTAGCATGGCTCTGCCCCCAGGCCAGGCCCCAGACTTGCACTTCCCAGCGCTCTGCCCTGGCTGGCCGGGGCTGGCTGGCCTGCCTCCCGCAGGGACTCAGGGTGGCTGGTGCTGGGGCCGTGCTGCCTGGGGCACCGGGACTGCGGGTGGCTGTAGCTGTGCCACCTGGTGCTCTGGGGCTGGGGGCGCTGTGGCTGGGCCACCTGGGGCACCGGGGCTGGGGCCGGGGGCCACGGTGGGGGTGGTCTGATCTCCTGCGGGGGAAGGGGAAAAGAGGAGCGGGAGAGGGGTCACAAGGGGAGGGGCTGGGCCTTTGGCACAAGAGGAGGGGCCAGGGGCTAGCTTCCCCAACGGCCAGGTCATTGGCCACCCATGGGTGTTACCTATCTATGTGTGTGTGACCAAAATGTTTGGATCTGTAGACAGTCAGCCAAACTCAGAGCAGCAGTAAATAAGAGTGAAAATAGAAATGGAATCCAAACAAGGGCAAAAGATTAATTGCAAAGTAATCTGCAGCCAGTGCCTGCAAGTGCTCCACATCAAAGGCAACCATGATAACATTGCCTCGCACCCATTAAAATCAGTGGCCCAGCTTGGAGCAGGAGGCTTTTTTCAGTCAGAATGGCAACCTTTGCTGGGTGCTTTGTGTCCTGTTTATCTTAATAGCATAAGTCGATTTGAGATCCCTAACCTGAGGATCTCCCAGTCAAGTAGTTCCCGCTATACCTTGTGAATCTGCATTACTGCTCTTGTTCCATCTGTCTTGCTAGGATAGTCAAGCCCAAAGTGGCTTCCATGGAGGAGATGGCAAGCTTTCACACTGATGCCTATCTGCAGCACCTCAAGAAGGTTAGTGAGGAGGGGGACGATGACCACCCGGAATCAGTGGAGTATGGACTGGGTAAGGAGCCTTTTTAAGCAAAGATGAATGAAAGATGGTTGTGTTCGTTTTGAGCTTGAAGTCCTGAGCATTTTCCAGTAGGAGCCGTCAAAGGTTTTCTCCTTTTCAGCTTTCTAAACAAAGTCCATTTCTGCTCTGATAAGTGACTGTAAAAATGGGCTGCTCTCACTGCACAGATCTTCTCCCTGTGTTAATTGGCAGAACTACTAGCTTTCCCAGTGCAAACCTTTTTAAAAATTGCTCCTTTTAACCTAGAAGAGGCAGCACAGCCCTGTGAAAGGGAACTAGATTCTAGTCTGGCTCATGCATCATTAACATAATGCTAATTGAGTTTCAGTTCGAGAATCTATATTACTGGGGCTGGTGTGACAAGGAATGAATCCAGCATCTCTCTTAGATCACTGGGTGAGTTGGCAGGCTGGCAGCTAGACACAAAACAATGGTTTACTTGGAAACGAAGTGCATTTGATCAGGTATGTTTACACAGCCTGCGGCAGCAAGCCTCCAAACCTGGGTCAACAGACTTCGGTCGGTGGATGGGGTTTGTGCTAGCGCTCTAAATACAGTTATGTAGACACTGCTTTGAAGTTGCAAACTGGGCTCTGAAGCCTAGGGAGGGGGGGGGGTCTATATAGCTATTTTGAGAGCTCTAGTGAGTCCTGTCAAGATGGGCTGTGAGGCATGCTTCTGCAGACTTTGTAGACATACCCCCTGAGATGATAAAGATGGAGCTCCAAGAGACATTTTGACAAGGTCACTTTCAGGGTAGAACTATACTTCAGTGGCCATGGCTGAACAAAGAGGGACTTAAACCTTATCTAGATTGCACATAGGTCCAGATTCTAGCCATTGGTATAACTCCATCCATACACCTCTAGTGTGGATGTGCAAAGCTGCTATTTGAACTGCTGGAGCTTATGGGTTTCTGGGGGGGCAGGAAGGGGGTATTACACAGTGACCATCATGCGGAACTTGCTGTGTTCCTTGGATCTGAGGCTTCACTTTCAGTTTCAAAGGAGCAGAGGGCGCCAGAGAGTGGTCCATGATATAACCTGTTACAGTGTTTCTTAAGAGGTCTGGAAGCCAGGCTTCCTGAACCAGTGATGCAAAGGGGGCGGGTGTGGGGGTGGTGTCTTCCTCCTCCGCAGTGGAGCATTAACTTGAAAACCTAAAGATGGATACTTAATTGCCAATGCCATTAACCTCTTCTCTGCTGTTCAGCATGATTCTTGGGTATTGGATTCTCCACTGGACGTTTTGACGTGTGCTGATGTTCCAGGCGTTTGAAAAGCCATTTCATAGGAAGCAGCCACCGAAACCCATGCGCCTTGCAGCAGCAGAAAAGGCAGATGTTCAACAAGCTGGGACTGGCTTTGATTTTAGCTCCAGCACATGCAAGCAGGAATCACAGGAATAGCAGGAGCTCAGTGGGCTCCAATCACGTACAGTAGCATTGTGCTCTATAGTGGATTTATACTGCTCACTTGCCTGCCATGGCACTTGCAGCTACTCCTTGAAGTCAGCTCTCTGAAGGGCTTTAGCATTTCCAGCTGCACAGTGGGAGGTGAAGTTTGTCATCTTTGTGTGAGACAGCGGGAGACACTACCTCCTTCCTGATGTTACACTGAGCCCGACTACAGAGTCCCGAGTTCTGCACAAAACACTCAAGGCTCTTCCAAGGCGACAGGTTTAATTCTAGAAACTGGTCCTGGAATTTGTGCTGCTCTGAGGGTCTGTCTACAGTGCATCAGAAGTGTGACTGCAGCACATCGTTGAAATAGCTTTGATCTAGCTAGCGCCAGTAAACAGGAGCAGTGAAGCCAGGGCAGCATGTGTGGTAGCACAGGCTGTAGAAGCCCTTTTGAGTGACTAACCTGTGCTGCTGCAGCTCACTGCTATTGTTTGAGCTAGCAAGAGCAAAGCTAGCGTAACGTGCTGCCGCCATACCTCTGATTGCAGTGAAGGTACGCCTTGAGATTTTGGATATGCCTGGAAAGGTCTTCAATGCGTGGGGTGGTGCTGAAGGTGAGAGAGTGGGTTACGTTCTAGGTCCACATCCGCTGAGTTCCCATGATAGTGTTCAAATGTAGAAGGGCTCTGCTTCTGGAGACTAAGGATGTTCTGTGTGGTTGTTGGGCAGGTAGAGGGGTTACAGGTACTCCATGTGAAAGAGGGGAATAGAGCAAAGCCAACCCAGTGTATCTGGTAACTGAACCAGTGTTTGTGTGCAAGTGGGGCTCACTGGCCTAGCACTTGCTTGGCACTGAGCCAGGAGGGGTTCATACAACCTCTGAGTATTCTTGGTCTGAGAAAGCCATTTGGCTTTTAATTCTTTTTTCTGTGGGGCACGGCCCAAAGAAACCCATCTTGGAAAGCCAGAGGGTAGCATCTTCCACATAGACCATGCTCGAAGAAGGTCAGTCCCCTTGCCAGCAGCCTCGCTTTGGCTCCCTACAGTGGCCAAAATGGAAAGCCAGAACTGTGAATAAAGTGAAATGCAGTTCTCTGGTGTACTTCCACCAGGAATGCAGTGATGTTCCCACTGGAGTCTTCTGTCCTGAGTGACGCTCTCTGGTTCTTGCCCGTAGGTTATGACTGTCCAACCACTGAAGGTATCTTTGACTATGCAGCAGCTGTAGGAGGGGCCAGCATCACAGCAGCCCAGTATCTGATGGACGGCAAGTGCAAGGTAGCGATTAACTGGCCTGGAGGGTGGCATCATGCAAAGAAGTAAGAAAACAACTTGTTACCGTGTGCTTTCCAACCTGGTATCTGAATTGAGCCTGATTGCTCCTAGCTTTCCACACAAACCATCAGGACGAGGACAAACAATAGCATCCAAAGAGACCAATACAAATGAATCGGGAGTTTTTGGGGGGCGGGGAAGAGGATGAGTGGGTTGAAAGACAAGAGGCAGCTGGGGAAGAAGTGTTGTACAGTGCAGAGGACTGGGAGCCAGGAGTCCTGCATCTAAGTCCTGGTTCTACCATGGGCTTGGTTGTGCAACGTAGACCAATCCCTTAACTTCTCTGTGCCTTGGTATCTCAGGTTCTGATAGTACCTCATGTACTTCATTGGGGTGTTGTGAGGCTTAATGCTAGTAAAGTAGCACACTGCTGAGATAGAAATGCACACTGCTGGTGTGTTGCCAGGCACTGAAGAGAATGGAAACCTGGAGACAAATGAAGTATTTGAGAAGAGGTGAGGTGAAATAGAATTGGCTCTTCATATTCCTTCCTATGCTCTGAAAGTATCTGTTAGATCTGTATTGTAATAGCTGAGATAGGGCTGTACAGTACTGTCAATAACAATATTTCAGAGCCCAAGAGAGGAGATGGGCACTTTGCCCCTAAGTTGCTCTCATTCCCAGGAGGTCACAGGACTAAAAATAACGAGGAGTCCTTGTGGCACCTTAGAGACTAACACATTTATTTGGGCATAAGCTTTCGTGGGCTGGAACCCACGCTGTGGCCTGCACCCTTATTGCTCTCTGAGTTTCAGGGGAAAGTAGTACTTTATCTTCTGAAGCACAAGGACTGTGTTTAATAGCATGTGCAGGTGAGGAAGTGACCCCTCTTTCTAATAGAATCATAAGATTTTCCATACCAGACTGAACCAACAGCCTGTCAGTTATGGTATACTGCCTGTGATAGTAATCTATAGCTGATGCATTGGGGAAAAAAATCCTCAGGAAGTACCTCATCAATTGTGGAATGCTGTATTTAGGGGCAGGGCAAGATTCCTTCCTGATGTTTGCGGCTCAGTGTTTTCCTTGAAGCATGAGATTTGGTCCCTCTATTCTATGTATGTCTACCAGATGGAATCATTCATAAAGTTCTCTCATCCCCTTGAAATACAGCTGCAGCTTTTGCTTCCTGCAGCAGTGCATTTTCTGAGCTGACCAGGAGCTCTGGGAAGAAATGAGGTCAATGTGCACACTTTGGGGACCTATCTAAAAATACTGGTAGTTTAAAGTGAACCCCCAGGTCAGCATTAGAACTGTCCAAATCTGGATTTGGATTTTGTTTCCGTTGAGTGAGCGGAGTTCAGATTAGTCAAGCAGAACAATCTTATTCTGCTCAGGATGAATGGCGTTTTAGCTTCTTGTGCTGTTCTATTTTGACTACATTGCCTGGGTTCTTCCTCATTAGTGATGCCTGGAACTAAGAAACAATCTCAACAGCTTTGCCTCCGATGTGCTGAGCCATTCATGCTGTTTTGGGAACAAATGTTGCATGCTAAAAGGTGCACATTTCACTTACTGATTTTAAAATGTCCTTTCCAGCTTTAGCCAAGGTACCACTAGAGAGAGCTCTAGGTTAAGTCAGAGGGTTTTCCTAACCCTTCAGTGGATTCCCCCCACTTCTGCCAGTATGTGGAATCTGTTAGTTGTGTATTGTGTCTCTAGCTGAAGGTTGTGTCAACATTTCCATTATAAATGTCTGTTCTCAGCAGTTAATTGCTCAGCCATAATGTCTGGCACTAGCCAGAATGTAGTATACTTTGAACAGAACAGTAAGTAGTTGGGATTTTGAAATCAGTCTCCAAATGTCTCACTGAAAATGTCTTAGGGCGTTCTAGTGCGCACTTAAGGATCACAGGACAGCTGCATTGACAATGATGTAATGATGTCTTTTAGCATTAGCCTTGCTCAGAGAAAAGCCTTCATTCCAGTAAGCTGGGAGGGGCCCTTGGGGAGCCTCCGTCAGTCACTGATCTGTGAAACAATGCATCCCGAGGTGTGTCCAATAAAGCTGAAGAAAAATCACCTGTGGTAGGTGTAGCAGACACCCCCGTTGCACCTGTCAATAGTCTGTGTATTCAAATTTCCAAATGAGGAATTTCCCGGATAGCCCTGTCACTCCTGCCCACAACATGCATTTTAAAAACTGGCCTAACTGTGTTCTTTGTGATCAGTTTCAGAGGCACCTAAAGTTCCTGTTGATCTGCAGAACCATTACGGGGGTCTGCTAAACATAGACAAAATCTCTTCCTGTTGCTCTGCTGTCAAGTGAACTGCCTCAGCAATAACATCCCCTCCTCTTCCCCCCACCCCCAACCTGGATACACTCAGCACCTGCTGTTAGCAGTTCCATTCGTGGCCCTCTGTTTCCATAGGCTCGTTGGTAGAGCTTTGTAAAAAAATCTTCACTGATATATAATCATCCCCTTCCAATGAGATTTGTACAGTAGGGCTTTTTGTTGTGCTTGTGGCACCTTAGAGACTAATCAATTTATTGGTTGCTCAAATAAATTGGTTAGTCTCTAAGGTGCCACAAGTACTCCTTTTCTTTTTGCGAATACGGACTAACACGGCTGTTACTCTGAAACCTGGCTTTTTGTTGGTGGCTCTGTTCCGTTCTAAACTTCCAAGTGTAGGTTTCATAGTTGATCCTGGATTGACTGGTACCCCAACAGACAATAATTAATGGAGAAAATGCTGGATTTAATGAGGACTATTGCACAGTTAAAGGCCCTGCTGAAATGTCAGCACAGATTAACTCCCTTAACAATTGCTTTTGTGGCTTTTTACCATATTTGTGTATTTATATACTGGGATTTTTTCCAAACTCCTCAGGGCACTAGCCCCACTGTGCTTTAATTTCTTACTCATGCGTATTGTGCCCTGAGGCCTTCCTTTGCCTCTCAGTGTGTCTAAGTGCCAAAACGAAGATGTTAGCTTGAGTTCTCAAGCATTTAGTAATTCCCTCCCACTCACACAGCTTGCGCTGCACCCCTACTTGGTTCTAAACTTGGGAGAGCCCCTGACAACTTTCTAGGCAAGAGTGCCTATGGTTTGGGCCAAGTTTTCATGATTGCATATGCTATTCCTGGAGAAATTCTGTGCCAAAAAAATTAAAAATTCTGCACACAATATTTTAAAAATCTGCAAAATTCTGCATATTTTATTTGTGAAAATAACACAATATAATCACACCAGTTTCAAGTATTTTGATAAATTATTTAAAAATACCTGTCAGCAACTATGTCTGTAACAATACAGACAACAAAAAAGATTCAGGAAATGTTTTTTGACAAATAGATTCCTTACTAGGCATATTAATACAGAACTCTGAGTAATAAGTCATTTAAACTACAGTACAGAACTGTATTTCCCACACCCCTCAGAAGCAGTGCAGAGGCTTAGGTAGTCAGGGGTAATGGAGGAGCTGAGGGACAGGGAAGTAATTTTTGGGTAGGAGCCTGGCTGTGAACTTGGAGGGTTGTTGGGTATGGGTGGGAGAAGTAAGGAACAGGCTTCTTTTTGGGTGGGGAGGGATTGTCAGGGAGCCTCCACCATGCAGACCCTGTGTGACCCCTAGCCTTTCTCATTCAGTCAGGCACATCTGTCCCTGCACCCCCATTCAGCCACCCCCTCCCCCCATGTGTCCCTATACCCCCTCCCCCATGTGTCCTTGCACCCCACTCAGCCACCCCAATCCTCCCATGTGGCCATGCACCCCTCCCCCAATCTCCATGCGTCCCTGCACCCACTTCCATTGAGCCCCGGCCCCACTCTGTCCCTTTCTGAACCCCAGTCTGTGACACCTCCCCACCAGCATCCCCGTTTGCCCCATATCACGTGCCTGCTGAGCTGGCCACACAGACAGGTTGCTGTGAGGAAGGCAGCATCTTTCTCTTACCTATCCGCATCCTCTGTCCTGGTGCCACAGTGGCCCCTGCTGGGCGAAAGGAGTAACTGCAGCACCTTTCCAGCAGAATGTATTTTCTTTGGGGAAAAAAACAAAAATTCTGTGGGGCACATGAATTCTGCGCATGCGCAGTAGTCCAGAATTCCCCCAGGAGTAATATGCAACTAATATACCACATTTTCTGCAGATGTGATTGTGCACACAAAAGGCCAGTTAGGAGCGCAGTTGTGGGAACCAGTTTAGGTATGAAGTTATGACAATTTGACCCCTTATGTCTTTGCCACTCTGAAGAGGGTTACTTATCTTTTTGTGGTCTCCATTTTATATGGATTACTGAAATTAACGGGGCACCTCTGCAATCCTTAATTTTCAGCACCAGGCATTTCTTTTCCTTTCAAGTCCCTCTAGTGTTCTCCCAAGCAGCAACATGCAGTAGTTTTCTGAGTACACAGGGAACCATTTTTCATTATGTACTTTCTTCAGTAAGTGCATGTAAGCATTTGAACCAAACTCATTGGTCCTGTAGGTGTTAAAGTGACATCGGTCTGAAAATCTCATTGGCCTTGAAAATGTTGTACTTGCTTGCGACGGATGTGGGGGTGCTCCTTAATAATTATTGATTCTGGACCTGGTTGGGCAGCAGAAAAGGAGACCCTTTCCAACAGTTACCTAACAGCTTACATTTGGACATCTATTAGGAGACAGTGTCAGAGCAAGCAGTTTAATAACTCCCACCTGCTCTTGTAGCCAGCGTGCAAAAAACAGCTTGAGCAGGGCTTGGAGAGAGGGAACCATACTGAGTCCCACAGACACACTAGAGGATCTGGGCTTTGTAAGGGCTTGTCTTCATGAGGAAGTTATTCTGGAAGAAGGTAAGGTGTGAATTTAAACTCCTTTGGCTATTCTGGAATAACTTTCTTTGCGAACACCCTTATTCCAGAGTCAGGGTAAAGGAAGGAGTGAGATCAGAATAAGAACAAGACTTCAAAAAAGGAGACTTAGACTCAGAATGGATAGATAGGGTCCTGTGGGAAATAAAACTAAAGGGGAAAAGGAGTCCAGGAGAGCTGGCAGTTT